GAACATATGTACCTGTAGGTTCTGCCATGCCAGGCAAGTCAATTGGAACGATTGCCCATAGTCAAACAATTCATAGGGTTCTTTACTGTTGACATAAATCTTATGGCTTTTAAAAAAACCATTTGACAAACTGCAACAGATTTTTTTTAGCTTACGCGCTCACAATTTATATTTAGTGAAATAAGCAGTTAAAAACTTTAACTTGGTGAATCTCAGTAAAAGATTAGTTTGTCATACGTCTGGCTGGATATTTTCGATGAAAAATCATCTAGTTCGCAGTTGTCCCTTAGGTTCTGCGGTCACGCTCCCAGGTCGTTAAGACCAGCACTAATCTACCTTCCTTTTCAGGTCCCTCAATAAACAACCTTCCACGGTGTGGGCAGCCGGGAAGTGACAACCGCCTTCATACCCGTAACAGCACGAGTGACCAAATTGGTCAAAATCGAATCCTTCTACATCCCATATTATCTCTCTTATCTCCATGACTAACTCTTCTCACATTCCTTTATCTCCCCGCACCTCTACTGCAAATGATTCGAGTCCTCGAAACGTTATTCCTGGTCTCTTGAAGCCCAGTTCTAACTACATGTTGGAGCATTTAATGTACGGACATTGTGTCAAATAGGGCAACAGGCATCATTAGCTAGGACTTCAGAATCTCGTGCCATCGATGTATGCTGCGTCTAAGAAACGTGCATACAGGATCCTAGTAAAATTATTAATCTGATTTCACCTAGTCAAAACAAAGAAGCAGCTCGATTTACTTTTCGTGTATCTGGAAGCCTTGATGCTGCTTCCCGGGGTCTTGCTGGTGTAGATATAGCATTGAGTCGTAGAGCTGAACAATCTCTCCTAGACTGGATCCCAGTAGATAGTCGCTTGTGCGCTGTCCGACTATACGGGACAGTAAGGCCTCAGAAGGATAGGGACACCCGTCGTTAACTCTTCGTCGTATCTGCCTAAGCCCCCACTGACAACAGTTCAAACGAGGTTAAAGATGAGTTTTACAGAAAGCTTTCGGACCTCCTCCAAATAGCTAGGCGCTCTGATATAGTTATAATGGCTGCTGACTTGGATACTCAAGTAGGTAGACTAAGTGAGCAGGAGAGACACCTTGGTGGATGATATGGTGTCGCGGCTCGGAGAACAGACAATGGCGACCGTGTGTTGCAACTATGCTCAGATAACCGCCTATTTGTAGCAGACACTAACTTTAGGCATAAGGAGAAACATCTTTTCACCTGGCGACCTCCGAGGTCGTCTCAACGTTGGACCCAACTAGATCACATCGCCATCAGCCACCAATGGAGGTGTTCGATAGAGAACTGTCGCTCGTTCTGGAGCACATATTTAAGTTCAGATCATGCCCTAGTGCGAGCTCGTATTTCTTTGAGGCTTACTGGACGTAGGAAAGACACCGCAAGTAAACCTCTTAGGGTTCTACTTAATGATAATAAGGCTAAGAATATATTCCAGGAACAACTAGAAAGACAGTTAGGCGACCATTGAAGCGATTCCCATCCGGAGGCAGGTTGGAATGATATCCAAAAGGATGTGGAAACATCAGTGATATCTACTAGCAAGTTAAACCATATGGCTAGGATGAGGCCGTGGATCTCAGTAGCATCCACCGAACTGATAGAGGCTCGAAAACGCATCCCACCTGGCTCTGAACATGATGAGGAGAGAAGTCAGATTAGATGCAGGCTGATGGAAAGCCTACGTAACGACCGTGAACAGTGGTGGGTGGCGAACGCAAAAGAGATGGAAAAGGTAGCGGTGATAGGCAACAGTAGACAACTTTTCCAACTTATCAAGGAAACTGGTATTAAGAATCCTATTGTAAGTGAGACTATCTCCAGTCATCCTGAATGCCAAATCGTCGTAAGTCCCCTCAGTCTTTGTGAAGTTGAGAAAGCGTTAGGAAATCTGAAGCAAGAGCGAGCTGCAGGTCATCATAGACTGACCACTGAGATATTTAAGGATGGTGGTCCAGTTTTAGCAGCTAGGTTGACTGAGATCTTACGTCGAATCTGGGAACTGGACGTAATCCCATCCGAGTGGTCTCAATCACTGATTGTCCCAATCTGTAAGAAAGGACACAAGTCTTCTTGTGACAATCAAAGGGGAATAAGTCTAACTAATATAGTTTCTAAATTGTTAGCCTCCATTATACTTAGACGCCTTACTAGTTCTCGTGAAGAGCAGACTAGAGAAAATCAGGCTGGTTTCAGACCTGAACGTGGTTGTATAGACCACATCTTCACACAAAGACAGGTCCTCGAACACAGGCATACATTTAGACGTCCGACAATAGTTGTGTTCCTAGACCTTAAGGCAGCATTCGACTCTGTGGCAGTGTTTGTCATTGAAAGGTGTACCAGAGAAGTACATTAACCTTATATAAGCTCTCTACTCGAACACCACTGGTCGAGTGAGAGCTTATGGCGAACTGTCATCGGAATTCTCTACATCAAGTGGTGTCCGTCAAGGATGTCCACTTTCTCCATTCTTGTTCAATTTTATCATAGACATGCTCTTAGAAATAACCTTATCTTCGTCTGAATTTTCAGGAGTAGACCTATTACCAGGTGACTCGCTTATTGACTTAGAATATGCCGATGACATAGTTCTATTCGGTGAAGACGCTGACAAAATGCAGTCTTCTGACCAGCCTAAGCAACAATGCAATCATTTTCGGGATCCGGTTTTCCCCATCGAATTGCAAAATGTTGCTTGAAGATTGGGTTTCTTCGGCACCTGAACTAGTGATGGGGAGTGAAGTAGTCGAGCGTGTAGACCGCTTCACTTACCCGGGGAGTCTCATCACTTCTGATTGCCTAGTGTGTGACGAAGTTATAGCACGGGTTCAGAAGGCCCGGTTGGCTTTCGCCACTTATTGCGTTGACGAGTTATTCGTTTGCTAAACAGTGGACGAGTGTACTGCGCGGCATCTCGTTTCGTCCTACTTTATGTCTGTGGAACATGGCCAGTTATAGTAGAAGATATTCGTAGGTTGCTGGTTTACGTTCAGAGGTGTCTCCGAAGCATTGCTTGAGTATCACGGTACAACCGAGTAGGTAACGCTGACATTAGGAAACGAGTTCTAGTTAAGGATGGCAGCTCAATAGATGAAGTACGGAATCAGTTAAACAAGTGATATCTATTCAAGAATTAATAATGAATAATATTTCGAACTTGTGCTAAATAAACGTAACAGTCATGCAATATTAGATCGAATCATGTGATAGTGTTGTTATGAGTCAATGATGTTTACTCGACACAAAAAGAAATTAATCACTTTTTCATAATAATCACTGAACTAGTGTGTAAGAACACAATATTAAATTCAATTTACTGCCCTCTGTATTAGGGAATTAAAATTTTCTGTAAACATTAAAATCTATTCTAGACAAGTTACATTTTATGATGATTTATTATTTGATAGGTCAAACTCCACTGATCATGGTTTCTCACTAGAACTCCAGAGGTTACGTCTTGTAGCTTATCACTTTTTCCCTGGGTGGCGTTTTGTTAGCGAGTTATTTTTCTACGTTATGGGGTCGCCAACGCTCCTCCTTTATCCGAGCTCGGGACAGTACAGTACAGCTTTAAACCTATAATATGATACATTTCATAACAAAAGAGTCTATAATACAATGTTTACAAAGACAGTAAGAGTTCAACCAACGTAGCTTAGAGAAATCGACTTCATCAAAATTTTTAGAACTCCACCTGGAAACCTAGGGTTACTGACGATTCTAAACCGGGATGAAGTAGGAGGGCTAAGCATAGGGTTGACAACTCCGTCTCGCAGAAAACAGATTTGATAGGAAACACTAACCAGCAGGCATCTTTTAAATCATTTAAACTCTGTACTAGGAGTTGAAGGGTCTTCATTTAGATTATTTATCTCACCTCATCGTGGAAGCTGAGTTTCTTAACAATCACCAGACTGATGCCTCTTCTGACAACCAGAGCAACGAACTAATATATGTACGTGGCATGTTCGCTCTTACCGAGAGAACTGTTCAGTTTACGGAGGAAATGAAAACGTGAAACCCGGTGCTGCTTGGAATAAGTGAAACCTATTTGATGCAGGCTGGACGATAAAGATCATCTTTAGGAGAGATCCTTTTGTACTCCTTCCTTGAAGAAGAAAATGCCTCACATACACAGAGAGTTGCACTATTGCTGTTCAAATAAGCCAAAAACCACTCATAAGATGAGAATCTCATAGGTCGAGGACCATCTAACCCTCCCTCAAGATAAAGAACGTGGAAGTTAAAATGGATGTCGTTTAGTGTTATGCATCCACCGATGATAACAATAAAGACGATAAAGATCGACTCTATGGGCGGCTGAATTCAATCGTCGAGAAATGCTTTAGACATTCTGATGGAAGACCTGAGCTTCAAGTTTGGACTGGACAACACCGGATATGAAGACATCATAGGACGATACCGACTAGGAGAAAAGAACGAAAACGGTGAGAGATTCGCAAATCTATGTATTCGATAAAACAGTAACACCATATTCCAACGCAAGCGCATACACAAAGCTACATAGGTTTCACCGAATCACACTACGAAGAACCAAATCGACCACATCTACGTCAACAAATAGTTCAGAAGGACCATCGAAGCTGTGAGAGAAAACAGACGAGCTGGCACAGTCTCAGATCACCGCCTAGTAGTGACCAAGATGAAACCGGTGTTAAAAAACTGGGAGAACAGTTTGATTCAATATGAAAAAAAAACATAAAGTATACTGCAAATTATAATAGTGTAACGTGTAAAACATTAAACTTTTGACCATTCAATCAAAACCTTGTTCCATTTCTGTTTGAACAATCTGATAGTACCACTAGCCCTTCACACAGTTACTTAAAGCACAGTCATGGACCTGTATTCATTAAATGAGTAACCTTCATATAATAATCAAGATTGTGAATTACTATGAACTTTTTTAATATTTTGTTCGGCTTGTTTGATTTATAGTATCGTTCTTCTTAGAACCAGTCAATCAACTTGCTGAACGTGTTCTACTTGGTGTAAAAAGTAAAATTCAAGGTCTTGTCACTGGTAATTTAGTTGAGACTTCAAATAACCGCAGTGGTGGACTTGATCAACTTGATGTTGCTGGACATGTTGGTTTGTTTGTCCGGTCAGTTGCTACAGATTATTAAAATTTGTCACGAATGTATCTTGGTTGGCAAGCTAACCTGTGACTGTATTACAAACTCTTATTTCATTCTTATTATCATTTAATGACTATGTTTCTTTAATGTGTACTTGAATTGTATGTCTTACTACTACTTTTTCGTGTATGTTACTACTTGATTCACGTATTACATATTTGTAGCTGAAGTAAAGCATTTTGTATTCAGAATTCATTTTTCTTGCTTAAAATTGAAAATTTCGGGCATTAGGTATAAATTATGCACAAAATGCTTATTCTATTTACAAGTCTCGTTAAAAAGATCCAAGAGTAGGTCGTCTATGCCTTCGGATGCTGTTAAATAGCATTCGATTAACCCAGGGGTTGTGGAATTTTCTGATGTAAAAATTTACGTGTAATGTCAAACTCGTAGCTCACTGGTATTGTAAGGAGCTTGTCTAAACCCAGTGCTTATTAATGGGATGTTTCATTAAACCTTCGGCTATGTGACCCACTGTCTTCATACCGTCATGTATACGCAACCAGTATTCATCTACATTTTTCGATGCCTTGACATTTAGCTTTGATGTTTAGTTGTAGCAGAAGCTGTAGCCAGTATGCTTAAATCAATTCGTTTAGGGCGAGGCGTTTTCTGGCCAAAATCAAGCTTAGAAAAAGCCATTCTATGGGTTAGAAAATATACAAGTACTAGAGCAGCGACAGAGCACACTGTTGATAATTAATTACAATGTGATCAATCTGACTCCAGGTTCGAAATGAACAGGGAGGACGGTAGAGTAACACATTGGCGATGACTTTAATGGAATATTTAATGGTCATAAACAGGTTGTGGTCTACACAAAGCTACGGGAGACGGTCACCGTTTTCTGGTCGATAATCACCAAGTTCGAGTTAATCAACTAGGTAACTTTATTCTATATTTAGACCTCTTTTATAGTGGAACTCATTCTTAATTACTCTAGGGCTTCAACCCGTCAGTTCATAGGCTCATATTACGAAAAAGGATGGCTTCCCTCAGGTTTCCTCTCACGTAGATGGAGCCTTCCTATCTAATTGTCCATGATTAACTTTTAACGGGTATTTAGTCTCTATTCTGGTGTAGTGTGCCTATTTACTGCGTGTTCTTAAGCTCGGTTTATAAATCAGAAGATGAACTCCAAGTATCGTATACGTTTATTCGAGGCACACCACATAGCGAACTGAAGAAGCGAATTGGAGAAGGCTAAGAGCCAACTCTTTGGATTACAATGCAAGCGAATGAACGAAGCGACGTGGAGAAGGCTAGTGAGCCAATTCCTAGAGATAGAGTATGACTAAGAATATGTAGTCAGATAAGAATAAGACAGACATATGACAATCGAAATAGGTATGCACACACATGAATAAAAGCGACGAATGATTGACAAGGTCAAATGACAAGCGATACAAATCATGTGAGTTCATGGGAATATTACGAGATTAACATTCAAGCGAAAAGGATGAGTAAGTGCGTAAGCGTAAGCAATGCTCAGTCGTACAAGCTCATACAAAGCAGATAATAAAAAATACCAATGGTACATATGAGTTGTTGCTATGCAAATAGCTTGGTTACTTAAATTAATCAAAAGGCTTAATCAAATTAAATATGAGCGAACTCAAGTTTATGTGGAGGCACTACACTGGCACTCACTGCAACACAAATCAAAACCATCACTGTTGTCACAGGCCCCCTGGACAAGCCGACGTAGGTCGGTAGCTGAAGAACAAGTTTGGTGTAATTTAAGTGTCTAGTATAATATTCTCAAAAATGTTGCAGGTGTTGATATTACGATTTCCATCATCAATGTGCAAACGTCGAAGAAGCTTAGTTTAAATGCTACACTTGGTTTCAGAAAAATCGTATTTGGTGTAGTATTCAATGACACCATTCATTAACTTAACATTTCTGCGACTTGAGATATTTTAAACAAGATAGAACTTCGAGTAAATATATTGACAAAAGTAAACAGTAAATAAAGGCAAATGGAAAGGTGAAATAAATTCGTTTGAATTAAATAGACTGGCAGCTTCGTTTGAGTTGCTATCAAATAGTTGTCATTTTTGTGAATGAGTTTAGATATTACCTGCACACTAAGAGAGATGCAGATAGCTTACTAGGGAATCATGCCGTTGGCCTTTGACGTAAAGTTCTAGTCCACAAGGCAATGGAGAAACGGTATGTATTTCCATGGTAGCCTGTGTGTGATAAAGGTAGGGTTGTATGTTATTTGTCTTATCAGGGTCTTCTAGCCTGTATGTATCATTGGTTTGGATTCAGGGTTTTAATCCTTCCAGGTACCCAAAATCGGTGTGCCATTAAGCTTCACACAGCGTGAAAGCAGTAGGTAGGATTTCACTGTTGAGGCTATGAACAGATGACCATGTAAAAGCATATGAAGGGGAATGCTTCTTTGTCATCAACACTGACCATACGAGGAAATGCTCTTAAAAAGTATTTATTATAAAATGTATATACTCTCCTTCCTACTTGCCATCATTTGATTGGTTTAATGAACCATTAATTCCGAGATACTTGAGTGTTCTACATTACTCAGAATGCTATCAAAGCAAAATACTTATATGAATCTCAGATATCAAACTTCGGATTTGGCACTAAGTGAAAATCAGAAATTCTCGCCACTCATTTTTTCTAAATTGTATTACTATAGAAAAATTTTGATGGTTAAGAGATAAAAGATGAAACTTCAGCCTTATGACTTTCCTTATGGAGATTGTTACGTCTCATCAAAATCACAAACCATCATTGTTAGACCACAATTAGAAACCTGGCAGCACTGGACAGCCGTTTCGTTTTAGTATGTGACTCATCAGCAGTGAGCATCCACGAACCTTGCTAGCAAAAATCAAACCTAGGACCCTTGGTCTCCCGCACGAACTCTTAAGCTGTAGACCACTGAACTGGCGTTCAACCGTGTTAATGTCTAACTTTAGCTTTATCTGAACATCAACTTTCGGAAGTTCAACATTATCGTTAATCAACTTACGAAGACGGTAATACCCGTCTGAAATATTTCTCAATATACGTATGGTTACTTATAAGTAGTATGAAATAAAATGCTGCTTCGATGTTGAGATTTTCACTTCCTTGAAGTGATATCAAATTCGAGTTAGTCAGACGAAATAGTCAATATCTTAACGATATGTGAAGCACTTGTTGCTATCAGTTAAGGGATCAAATATCTGACTCAGTGAAAAGTATTTGTTTGCTTCTACACTTAATCTCAATTAGATTTGTGAATTCTTCAGATATCATTTCTACTAATCTATATAGGGTTATATATATGGCGAATGCTGGACTTCATTGAAGTCATGCTGCAATAAGATTGATCGATTCATAATTTCTACTCAGTTAATGTTTGCTAAAGAGTCAAAGGAAAAAAGATAGACCAAGGAATACACTGCATCGAGAATTGGAAACAGACATGAAAGGAATGTATAACATTGGGTAGAACTGGAAAGGATGGCCCAGAACAGAAGTGGTTGAGGAATGCTGATCTGTGGCCCATGCTTTACTGGAGGTAACGGGCGTTTATGTTATGTTTACCAAGAACCTGACTGCCAGTCAATGTTAGATTGGCGTAGTAAAAAATAGTTTTTTGATCTGTTTTTTGTGCTATGTCTATTCCTCCTCGTCTCCTTACTTCCATCAAGCCATACACGCCTTGTGTGGTTGCTGAAATAAAATTGCTTCGTGGTAAGTCAACGGAAACTCATTTAGACATACATCGCTTCAAATAACGAAAGTTTCTGTTATCAACTCTAGGTTATCAGTTAACAAACAAAATAATATTTTCCTTTTATCAAACACTAAGGGTAACTTATTATGTAATCTAATAAATAAAATGAATTTCTTATGCAGAAGCATCTTCAAAATGAATCACTTATGCGCATCCAGATTTAAAATAGGCGACCCATCTTTGAGTTAAGGTAATTAAAAATTAATTTATTCTGATATTATGTTGTTTAAATAAAATCACCGAAAATCCCTTGACCTATGTTTTGTACTAACTTATACTGTAAATATATGTCTATAATCTTTTACGTGTCGCTCATTTTTAGGCGAATCGACCAAACTGGAAAAAAATGCATAACGAATTATGGTTTCATCATGATAAATGATGAAAGATCATGTATGACAGATCACGTTCCTAAATATTTAACTGTATTAAAATTTGTATACAAACGAGTATGAACATACGTATATGCATTGTATACGTGCTTTTACACCAAGTAGGAAAGGTTAGAAAAGCATATTTATATATAGCAAAAGGAAACATTATTCTTACATGATCACTCTCATTTGTATATAAATAAAGAAAGTTAAAAATATGCTACCATAAGATTATTGGATTAAGAAATAAGGATAGAAACTATGGAAAAATCCCAATTCATTTTTGAATTCAGAGTTGAAAAATACTAAGATCATGTGATTACAAACTAGAAAGTACATTTCCCTTCTCTCATCCTTCCCTTACCAACAGTAACTAATACTAAACTTTCTTCTCCAATCAGAAGTGATTGTTTTTCATTCTCTATTACGAATAAATAAATAAGAAGTTCATTGAACAATTATTATGGTTATTATCATCATCATTGTGTCTTATGATAGACTTGCAGAATAACAAACTATTTAAAAAAACAATATTATGGCTATAATAGAAATATTTTTCTTGATATTGTTTCGTCGAACTGTATAATAATCATTTGTAGTATTCTTGTAAGTAGGCAGTAAATATCCCTTTTTACTTATTCATGTATGACGTATAAATAGTTCCTGAAAACATGACTCGTTTAGGTTATTGAGAAACAAACCTAGATTTTCACCTACAATACATAAATTGTTGATAGAGAGTTTTGCTATAAAGAATATATTCGGAAACTTTGTAAAGCTTATAACTAATTATCATTACTAGCAATGGGAACCAACTCAATAATCTAAATGTATCATGCTTACCCAAAAGAATTGATGGTCTTGGGTTCGATTGTGTCTACGTTTGTTAATGTACTTACTCTATTAATTTTTTATTCGATATTAGCTAGTTTTCTCTAGTTTAATCAAAAATTCATTAGGATTCTAAAGTATTGGGTTCGACAAAATAAGATATATTTTACAAAGTAATTAATTCTAGCAGAAACTTATTTGCTTACTACTAAACTTTTTACAAAAAGAAGGCTCGTTATTACTACACAAAAAATCTAACCTAAGTTTAAGTTTTCATTCATATAGTATTTTGAAGATTGTAACTGTAAATTGTTAACTCGAACTTGGAAAATTTAGAACTTGATGATATCGAAATTGAGGCCGATGCTCCTCACAATCATAGCTACCACTCCTTTAGGTACATGAATTTTTGAACATTGTAGGAGACTGGAAGACTATTTCAAGTTGCGGCAGAAATGAAAAGATACAACCTCGAGGTGCTTGGAATCAGTGAAACACACTGGACTCACGTTGGACAACTGAGACTGGCTTCAGGGGAACTGCTGTTATACTCTGGTCATGAAGAGGAAAATGCTTCACATACACAAGGAGTTGCACTGATGCTGTCCAAACAAGCAGAAAAGGCACTAATAGGATGAGAATCTCATGAACCTAGGATCATCAAAGCATCCTTCAAAACAAAGAAAGAGGACATTACAATGAACGTCATCCAATGTTATGCACCTACCAACGACTACAATGACGACTTTAAAGATCAATTCTACGAGAGGCTGAAAAGTCAGTCGTCGAGAGATCCTCATTAAAGGATTTGACCAGTCCGATAGGAGATTCGTTGACCAGACACCATCGGCAACCACCTACTGTGGAAAAGGACAAACCAGCTTCCAGTGGAGGAAGAAATCAGCAAGAAGAGCTGGAACCAGATAGGACCCACATTGCGAAAAGCACCCAACTGCGTCACAAGACAAGCTCTCTCTTGGAACCCTCAAGATTGAAAAAGAACAGGAAGGCCAAGGGACACATTACATTGAGAAATGAAGACAAACATGAGAAGAATGAAAAAGATTGGATAGAAAGAGGCTAAGGAGGAATAAGCTAGAGAAAACTGGTAGGCGGCCTATGCTCCATTGGGGGTATTAAGCGTAGGTGATTAAGAAAGTAACCTAACAGAAGAATCTAGGATAATCATTTAGTCCTAATCAGGATTCGTCATACATTATGCCTATTAGACACGTTAATGGTTATTTGAACTCACTATCTCAGTGGATACCGATTCGAGGTCTTAAGAGAAATGTAATACATTCGGGTTTCCTTGTGGATGTCAACACTGCAATCAAGGTAAATTCAGCCGACAATGCACAAATCGAATACAACGTATAGACTACAATTTGTATATTCTATTTATCGTTTTATTATTTAATGTGAATAGTGATACTTTTGTATTAAACATTTGGACAGACCGATTTTACTGAAGCTAAAGATATCAGCCAGTTGTTCGAATAAAAATAAACAGAGAAGGTTTCGAAACTGCACTTGATTAGTTATGAATTTAATTCTTACATCATTAAATCACGGCTAATTAATTAAAAAAACAAGTCAACAGAAGAAATTATATTCATAATACAGATAAAGGGATAATAAGATTAGAAGGATGAAGGATACAGCGAATACAATCATCATCTTGACAGAAGACATTGTAAACTAACATTTCCTGTATAATAAAAAAAAAACCGTTAATAATATTTTTGTGTCATTGATACGCATCATATTACTTTGCGTTTTAATGTTATGCAGATCATGATGATACGATTTGAAAATTCCACATCCATCTAAAGTTGTCGGTAAATATAAACTGAGGTAAAAACGTTTAAAAATTGGAAAGAAGTAGTATGCAAGTGTGTAATTTTGTTGTCGGTACTTTTTTGTTGAGAACTATCTCATTCGTCTTAATTTATGAATTTATGTACAATACAAAGGAATTAATAATATGCTCAGCAAAAAAAAATCATAATAATAATAATAAACTTCACTATAAAATGCCACTTATGTTTCATTATTGAAACTAATTCAGAAAACAAGTTAAGTTCCTCCTTGTATTCATTAAAAATAACCATTGAGTAGAATAATAAAATGTAATAAGTAATAATAAAAAAAAATGAAACGATGATTTCATCCAAATGAAATCACTAACAACGATTGGATTCAATGAGTTTATTGAAAAATTACATGGAGTACAGAGATAAAAAATAGTATATTGTTGTAGGTTTTTTTTGGAGAGTAAATAAATACAAATTAATTCATGCAATTTTAGGTTGGAAATTTTGGTAAATACGCGTAAATATAAATGTATAGAAAGATAAGTCCATAAGTAAATAGGTAAGAGGGTAGGTAGGTAGGTAGGTAAGCAAAATAGGATGAATTATTTGTCAACTTACAAATAAGTTTGAATAGTATAATACACAAGCAAAATTTTTAAACGACAATAACTAAACAAGTGATAATTACACAAATTAATAACAGATATCACTGACAAAAGCGCACACACCCGAGGTCTTTTTGTTCAACGGTAATTTTAGCACTCATATTCTTTGTCAAAAACAATAAAATTTCATTACAATGAAAAAAAATAAGCATTGGTCTTGAAAAGCAAAAAAAGGCACAGGATTACCAGTATTCAGGACAGACAAAAACAGTAATAATGTAAATACATAAGGCGAGGTTGTTTTTTTTTTTAAAATAATAAATAAACCGATTAGTGTGACGAATTCTAACACTGTAAACAGCAGATGAAGAGGGATTACGGGTGAAATTTCGTAAAAAAAAAATTAAGCCGCATGCAAACGAAGCAAAATATATGCATTCATTGTCATCAATGTTAAATCGGTTACTTCTGACTATTTAGTGCATTCTCTCAAGAGATTTTTAATTTGTCAGGGCCATATTTCAACTGATCTCTAACATGAGCGATTTATTTTTTACATTATTACTACTGTACCCACTACCACTACTACTACTACTACTACTAGCACTTATGTCAGTAGTAAACACTTTAGCATAATTTATGTTGCTGTCTCTGATAAAGAGCAGTTTGAAGTAGTATTATTATTATTATTATTATTACTATTATCATTATTATCGACATCATTACTTTCAGTATTCTTGCTAGTTTCATCAGCAATAATTAACATGGAATCATTATCGTCTGATGGTGATTGCGTTGTACCTGTAATTTGTTTCTCTTTCAATACTGCTGTCTTGTTAGTATCATTCATTTTGTCATATTTATGATATTCTTCATCTGATGAAGACGACGATGAAGAGGAGGAGGAGGAAGAAGAAGAAGAAGAAGAAGAGACTGATGATAGTGTGTTTAAGTGATTAGTAGGAGAACTTAATCGATTATTAATATGAACATGTAAAGTAGGCGGTGATGAAGCTGAATAATAAATAGGATCGGATGAGATACTTGAATCAGTTGTTATATTAATCATTGAATTATTATCATTACTAGTAGTTAATGAATAATGAATTGATGAATTATCCAGTTTGACTTGTATTAAATCTTGATTGGTTTTTTCTGTTATTTGTATTAAATGATCATTATTATTAGTTATATTATTGTCATTATTATTATTCTGATGATTCTGATTACTTGGTTGTAGTAACAATTCTGATTGAATATTTTCTTCATTTATTTGTAAATGAGATGAAATAAGATTGGATACAAATTCTGTTTGTTGATCATTTTCTGTTTTGAGAAAATTTAAATCGGTGAATGATTGTGTTGTAAATGGTGCAGATTTTGGTTTCAATAGAAATGGTTGAATAGACAATGATGTATCCGTACTATTCATGTTAGATATAATAGCAGAACAGTTGGAAGAAGTAGAAGAAACATTCATTGGATTTGTAGATGTTGATGTTGTCATGTTATTAACATCTGCAACAGCTGAAGTTGCAGCAGCCACTGCGGCAGCAACAATAGCAGCTGTAGCCGAAGGATCTGTCGTAGAATCCGGTGCAAGTGGTGGTGTAGGTTTTGGTAGCCCACTGGATGTAGAACGTGCACGTTTATTGGCAAACCATTTCTTTACCTATAATGTATATATATACATATATATATATATATATATATACCTGTACGACAGAAAATTATATCTATCAAGTAACATTAAAAAACTATATATATATATATATATATATATATATATATATATATATATATATATATATATATATATATATATATATATACTGCTAATAAATATTTGTGGAGCTTAAGGGGACTGTATTCGTTGGCTTCTTTTCTTCGTTTGCGTTTCGGTTGCACATTGATTGAGTTCCACAATTGGAAAACCGACAAGAACATTCAGTGTGAATCCAAATGTAAGCTAAGACAAGAAACCACGTAGTATAGTCAATCACAAGCAATACCATCAGAGAATGAACCGATGCCACACTAATGGAATAGCTAGTGAGCTCGCCTCTACAGGAAATAGGCGCCAGAGATGTTGTTCAGAAGAGCAATGAAAACCTCACGATTAAACCGTCTAGCTCGAAAAAATCAACACTACCGAAAGCATCCACCTGAACTACAAGATTCTCTCAACCAAGCAATGAGTTAAGAATGAAATAAGTCTTAGGAATTATTCACTTGCCCTCCCTACCATCATTTTCAAGTAAGTCCGGTTTATTTTATTGAAAGCAAAATATTTGAATACATTATTTTTGAAAATTTGTTGTTTTAAATAGGAATTATCACTTAACTTTAATCACAACTGTCAAATAAAATGTGAAAATTTAAATATCAATAAATTATTCCCCTTAATTATTTTTAGCAATGTAAGTTGTTTTCGATAAACAATCAATCTCTTTTCTGAAAAGAAATAATCTATTCAAGGTATTAGAGAGAAATAGTTAACACCATGCTGTTATCGCTCCTATTAGTATTTTCCTCTTGTCCAGCGGAAAGGAAGGTATATCTAAATTTTATTGATAAACCACCCACTCAATATTTTCTTTACGTCCCCTTTTCTCTTTCTCTGTTAACTTTTTTCTTCCTCTTTCTCTTTCTCTCTCTCCCTCTCTCTCTCTCGCTCTTTCTCTCTCTGAGACCATCCCCCTTTGAATATCTACAGCTTATTATCAGATCTGTCTAGCATCCGATCTATGCATTCTAAAATACATACCACAGTGTATGGTTATGATTATCAAATGAACCAAATTTCAGAAAGACATTAAAATTGATACGATGTTCCTCAGTGGCAAAAGAACTCCATGACTACCTGTTCAGTAAGAAAATATAGCTCACAGGGATAAATTAATATCTTTGAAAAAGAAATAGGACAATATATAATTTGAGTATAACGGAACAAAAGTACCTTAATAATAATGATCAAAGCTTTTGTATTACTCATCAAAAGTTGGTACAGTAACTTGGTTTAACCCATAGGCTTTACGCTGAATATGACTAATAACTGCTATTGCCAAGACTGAAGATAGTTTTTAAATTAATGGATAAGAAAACATCATTAATGATTCAGATGTAATCTTAACATCACCCTACTCGTCACACTAAATTCACAAATATTTAAGAGTATCAGAGATAACTCTCATGTTATTCAATTGTTTTATCAACATTTTTGTTATATTGCAATCTTTAACACAGGTTACAGTTAATTAAGAGGAAGATATATGAATATAACTCAACTACTAGGGACATAATTATATAAGCGATTTCCAACTTCATTGTTGATATGAAAGCTAATGAATAAATACTATTAGGCTGGCCAAGTAAACGGAATAGATTTCGAACCAACAGTCTAAGAGTTGGAAGCAAAATGTCTCTATTTCTAATCCACATCTCCAGTGAATACAGGCTGAACTAAAAAAACATAGCCATGCAGCACAGGTGATAAAATATCAGATTAAAGTAAACTGATATATAATTTATTTCTTCGTGCAATGTATTTTATAGATGATGATGAGTGTATACACAGTTATTTCTAGATAGCATTTCAATGAAATATCCATAATATTAAAGAATGGAAGAGTAGAATTAGTGTACCGTTGTTAGTAAACTATTATCATGTTAGCTTTTCTGTGTATAGTTTTGAATCAATTCCACTACCACTACTCCTGCTACTTTAATGCTGAAATCAAAATGTCATTAAAGGCAATTGGCATATATTGTTGAATTAAATAAATTCATTATTGTCTTCTATCAATATTAAGATGGTTTAGGCAACAGTTAGGAGTAGTCTTTTTATAGAGGAAAATTATTCCCATCTGGTACAAGAGTAGTTATGTTACCTGTGCGCTTGACATTTTTTAGACTTAAATATTTATTTGTATACTCGCCTGTTGATCTGTACATGAAATCAAAAAAATAAATATTCCTATTTTCTGCTTCAGTGATTTAAAAATACACCTCAAGCCTACACACAAATTTAGAGAAACTATTGAATGTGGGCGTATATGGGCACAAAGAAGATGACCGAATCAGCATCTGACCTATGAAAAAAGCCTAGGCCATTGAGGCAAGAAAGATAGGAAATTAATGTGCTTTTGAAAGTTTATATTAGATGAAAGGCAGTTTGAAACAGATCGATTGAACAACAGTTAAATATAAGTATGCCTGGTGTGTGCACTCTAAAAATATAGGCATTTTAAGAGTAGTATAACAGGGACTGAAAGATGGTAGAGATTATTTGTGCATGTGTATATATATATGTGCCTGTGTGTTTGTTTATCTATGAACTGTATTGATTATGTGCATAGGTATGTACAGGTAGTCTTAAGGATAAAAATACGAGTACACACCATTTTAACTAAACTTAAGGTTGCGCAGCACTGGGTACCACACTAAAATCAGTTTAATCATTTGGCACTAAAGTATTTTGTATGGTTGTCAAGCCTCACAGAGATCATCATCCCACTCATTATGTACCTGGTAAAAAAAATAAAAGGCTATGTATTTAAAAATAAACAGACATACGCACAAACACGAACGTAGGAAATGAGTTAAGCACGTCTAGACTTTGGGAATGTGTAGGGATGGAAAAAAGCAGCATCCATTTTAAGAACAGAGAATTCGTTTAAACTAGATGATGATGCTGATGATGATGATTCAGTTTTTAAGACATGATTTTACTTAACTGCCACCCTGTTGCTAACGTGTTTTAACAAAATGCTACATGCAGTCTGATAACCTGAACAATTGTCGGAGTGCCTACATAAAATGCTTTTAGATTGTTTAGGTCAAAAAAGAAGGAATAGTAGTTGAGATTACTCATCATGTGTTTTACTCATTCGAAGGTATGTTAAAATACAGATTCTACAAGACAGTTTTGAAATATTTTATAGGTTATCGGGAAAATATACAGATTTGTGTTACTGGGCTAGTTTAACTATGCTAGACATTTTATTAAACATTCAAATATTCACACACAAAAAAATTATTTCCATAGCTCATTCCGCAGTGAAAATAGCTTAATTACTTAGTCAACTTATTTATTTGGGACAGATTCGTGTACTTGACTTCAACTCAACTTAAGCCAAAATGAGGTGGGATTCGAGCAAGAATTAAACAGGTCGAAAAGACTTCATTCATTAATAAGTTACCTCAAACATAAATTAAATATGTGATCCTATCTAATTAAAACAATAAGAATAGTATTAATTTACAAATAACAATTACTATTCAACAAAAGTTTGATTAGTTTTTCATTGAGTGATTTATCTTGAAAAAATATTTCTAAATATAAAATACATAAAAACATACCTGAGAATAACTTAGACCAGATATATTTGCCAATTCTTTGGTGTCGTCAGTGGATGGATATGGTTTCGCTTGATGCAACTGATACCATTCAGTTAATATACGATTTTGTGTCGGTGTAAAATTTTGACGATGTGGACGAAGTTGTTGCTGATTATTTGAATCACTAAACGATGATGATAGACCACGTCGACTAGTAGATGAATTTGCACCACTCATTCTTGTTGAACTTAAAGAACGTTTATTACTTGAACCAAGTAATAAATTCGATTGAATATCACTTGTATGGACAAGATCAGTTGACTGATCAATTTTATTCGGTGATTCTGAACCGCCACTTGTTTTATCACAAATTCTGTTTCTTTTAGAAGATAATTGTTGTGCATTACTTTGAACTGAACATGCTTCATCTTGTTCAGGCTCCCATTCTTCATCTATTTGATCTTCATAATTTGAATCTGTTTCAGGTTCGTTTGTTTGATTTAAATCTGTTTCATTAGTTATAACTCGATTTGATTCATTAACTTGTGTTTCAATTTGTCCACTATCTGATACATGTGAATAATCATTATTGGTGAGACAATCAGTCAAATTAGAAGATGTAAGAATAGCAGAAGCTGTTGTTGATGTATCAGCAACACGAAGTTGAAGACCAGTTCGTGGATCTAAAAGACTGATTACTGGAGTAGTTGTTCCCATATGTCTTCCATTAGTATTAGATAATTTAAGATTAGCTAAAGTAATTTGATTTATCGCGTTATTTACTCCTCCTGGTCTTTGAATATTTTGAGCAGCAGCTGCGGCTGCTGCTGCAAATAACGCCTGTTGTGGATCTAATAGACTAATTGTTCCACTAGGTATACTAGTTGTCCCAAGTAAAGTGCTTCCGCACATATTTGTGTTGTTACCAATGGTTCCATTGTTTTGTAAAGGTAATAAATTAGTTCCAGTTGTAGATGTTACTAGGTTGGTTAATAAACGTGTTGCATTTGTTGAACTTAATGTAACACTCGACTGTACTGGCGATTTATTTGCTGATATAAAATTAATCAATGCTGGATTCCCAACAACAGTATGACCGAGTTGTTGTGCAGAATTGTTATTATTATTATTATTATTGTTAGTATTATTATTATTATTTAAGTTTGCTAGATTACCAGAAAGAATACCTGTTAAAGAAATACCTACAATTATGAAAAAATCAAAAATCACACTATCAACAAATAATAAACCTGCTTAAAACAAAGTCATTATTCAACAATGGTAACAACAAAAATTTAACTCATCCCTTGAACAAAAAATTCAAGAATATTTACAAACAAAAATTTTCGGATATATTTAGCATGTAGTTAACAGCAGAAACCATGAAACAAGTTTTAACCTACTTTGAACTAATTAATCATACTTACTTGCATCCCAGCAGTATTGATATTACATTGAAACGTCAACCTGAGAACTTTGCTTTTAAATTCTGAATGCTAGGCCTACTGAGGTATTCTGTACATATGACAACAGAAACTGGACATTTAAAAAAAGGAAGAGTTTTGATTAGCAGTAAAATTGATTTTCACTGCTAATGTCATATCATTACTGATTAATAGATAGGCAGACAAACGCTTTTAACATAGAGCCTGACAGAGGTATGAGTTAGTCCGAGTAGCTGCAGCAGATTAATGAGACGAGGTGGGAATGACAAAAGGGGTCGAAACAATGTAATAGTAATGATTACAAAAATGACTAAACTCTAGGAAAATGATTTTAAAAAGACGTAATGTAAAGTATTCATTCAAAGGTACTGGAACTGATGATCGAGGGGACGATAAGGAGTCAACGTATCTACACCATTGCAAATGATTCTGAGCTATATTGCCTAAAATCCATAAAGATCGATCGCAGTTATCTCATAGACCTAAACTAGGCGCTCTGTATCTACTTACATGGCTCAGATCAATAGTCACTAAATTTATGGACTAATATGACGTTATTGATTAATGACTATTCCATATGAAATATTTTTATATGAGTTCTCATTAAAAATATATTCATAAAAAACCATCATCACTTCATTAACATCATAAGTTTATTCATAAACCACAACTATATGATGCAAAAGATAGAGAAAAATGGAAATCTTTGATATGATAAATTATATGGTCAATAAATTTTCTCACATTATCTTTCTCCCTCATTCTCTTATCCTCCCTCCCTTACATTAACAATTCTTCACTATCTTATATGTAGTTATTGTTTTTGGTGGTGTTTCCTTTGCACTACAACTGGGTCAGAGTATGAGTGAGTACCCATGGTAAAATGCTAATTTCACTGGAAATTGTTGAGTTGATTTGTTATAACATATTTATATCATATGTTAATTAAACAATAAACCATATTATAAATAGGAAGATTTATTCTTTATATTACAAATGAATAGTACATTGTTACTTTAACAAAATGATTGGAGGAGTAGATTCTTTAGTCTCTGAGAACACAACAACTATCTAATTGAATAAGATACTCTGTGTCGAATGTAATTTATTAGTTAAGTGAACAAACCTATGGTGTTTGAGGGAAGACAAAGAATGGATGCACTTGTGCCATTGCAAACTATTTTCAGCCATGTCATCCAACGTCTCCAGCTATTGATTACTATCGTCTCGCGGACCCCAACCTGGTAGTCTACACCTACCACCATGGCTCAGTCTGCCTGACAGTGACTTCATTGTTTTGTGCCATGTTTTGGTCTGGCTGCCCCCAGCTTTCTTCTAGCCTACCCCTACACCAAGCATCATCGCTCGTCGAGGCAGTCGGTGGTTGAGCATTCGTAAAACGTCCCAACTAGCTCAAATGATGAAGTTTCACTACTACATCAATTGATTTCCCATCCTTACATTGTAACTTTTCTAACGACAGCATTGCTTACTCGGTTGTCCTAGGATATACGAACATTTATGATTGAATATTAGCGACCTATGAATATCCTTTATTCTTACTGGCTATTTTTCACACCCATCTAGTAGGACGGAGCGAACTGATGTGCAATAGACTCGTCCTTTGGTTAGCAGGAAGAGTTAACATGGTCTAACACTGACAAAATCAACTGGTCACTGGATATGTAACCAGTATAATATTGCCCAGTATTTAGTTTCAATAAAATTCAATTGGTTTCGTGATTTTGGGTCATATATACATGAAAATAATCTCTTTACGCTTTTAGACTAGCCTTAGTCATAAATGCCAAAAGTGTGAAACCGATGCTCACATATTTCTATTAATTTTTGTGATCCATCAGCCAGATCGAACTATCGGTTATAAAAGTCATCCAAACATTTTAAAAACAGAATTACTTACATTCACCCGAAGGTACAGTAATCCCTTTGACATTTGAATTAACTGTTCCGAAATTTGCTGGCATTGATGGATTATACGTTGTAATGTTGTTGTTTACAAAACCTGACGGTCCGGTTAAAGTAAAACCGCATACACTAGTTAAATTATTTAAACCAGGAATCAATGAAGTATTCCCAGCATCAGAAGTAGTCACTGAACCTGTCACATTTAAGTTTGAGCCGGAAATAGGAGTATTTATTAACACACTAGTTCCAGATGATGGTATTGAAGGAGTTGAAGGGCTCATAAGTTGTTGAATTGACGGATTCGAAGCGTTTAATGATGACACAGTAGTTGAACCTGTAGGTGCTTGTGACAAAGAAGATGTTGATGCGGTTGAATTGACTGGCAGTGATATCGAGACAGATGATGCATTAGCTAGCGCAGCCATAATAGCCTGCAATTGAGCTAAACTTACAATATGAGAAGATGTGGAAGGCAAATTTATAGGTGTATTGGCAGAAATACTATTATGAGTAGATTTGTTGACAGAATCAATTAGTTTATTATCACCACAGGTCAAAGTTATCGGTTCAATATTTTGAAGACTAGTTGATACCGTAGAATTTATGAACTCCTTCTTAATGTTAGTGATATTGTTATAAGGTTCATTTTGACAATTCATATATTGATTTCGTTTATCAGAAAAATTATCTGAACTACCAACTATCTCGTTCATTGTTGGTAAGCTGGATATTGTATTGGCTAGAGCAGTTAAGCACTGAGCTGGATTCGGGAACAAACTTGATACTGGAACTTCGATAGACTGAATTAGGCGTTGCTTTAAACCACCTTTAATTGCTGCATTTATTACTTCAGCAACATTATTGACAACATTAAATGTAGGTTGATCAAGTGTACTTGTTTCCTTACATAGTGAATCATTTATATTTATACCTGTAAATAAGTTATGATTGTCTGCATCGGATTTTGCTATATTCGATGCTGGTGTAAATGATTGCGAATGCTCTGATTGTATGTTGACAGATCGTACCTAATAATCAAATGAAAATGTGTATTGTATTAGACTGTAGAAAACAAAATAAATTCTTCGCTGTATTCCATATATTAGTAAACGTTATCATGTGAAACGAAAAACTATTATTGAATACTAGAAGAAAATGTCATCAGATGTAGACAATTATTTGAGTTCATCTCAATTTTTAAATAAAAAAATACTGCGCATTATCTTTTACATGACGGAATATAAGAGAGATTCGAATTAAAAATGAAAGAAAACTAAGATCATAGTGGAAATCGACAAAATATGCTTGAAAATAATCCATGACAATCAATGGCGATGAGATAAAACTATGAAATTTCGGCTTTCAATTATTTGTAACAGTTATAATTGCGATTTCGGTATTTTTCTTCAAAGTATAATCGCTAATAAATTAAAATCTATGAATATTTATCATTAACTCAACAGTTTTTTTTTATGGAGTTTTGTTTGTTGAGTTGGATGGTTTAATCGTAAAGTCCTCACTGTTGTTTTTGCACAATATCATCAGCACAAACTTCAGGTAGACATGAGATATTTCAATCTCTCGACGTATAAAAGAAATGTGATGGTTTTTTAGAAGAACAGTGAGGACTTCAGATTTGAGCCATCCCGTCAAAAGAATGAAACTTCATCAAAATCATCCACCTCAACCATAAATCTCAACTAACACTATAGTAGAAGTAAAGTAGTTATTTAGCTGATAAATACTAATAATTAAGGTTAAATCTAGCAGTGAAAATAATGAAACAAATTGAGCAACTAATTGGATCATGTCTGAACTTGCATTTTAATTAAAAAAAAACCCAATTGTAGTTGCTAAGATGTTTTATTTAGGTTGAGCAAATACATTGAATGTCCTTTACTGCATAATGAAGTAAAAGAAAGAACTCTTAATGGATTTTTTTGTTGAAAATAATGCTTAAAAAATCAGTTTCAGTTTATGATCTGTTGTGATCATCTAGTTTTATAAATTATATATATATATATATATATATATATATAAGTGCATATTCTGTATGCGGGTATTTGGCGCCACTATTAATAATCAAAATATTTTATCATAGGAAGAGACCCCCAAAGTTAGAAGGTAGCATACATAAAACATTACTCGTTTTTTTTTTGATGGAAGATTATCTGTAGGTATGAATGAGGTCAATAGAGTACTACTCTCAATAGTAAATGATAAAAATGCTAATGAGTGTAAGTGTGATGGTGTGCAATAATAATACACATACATACATACATAAATTAACAGATCTATACATAAATGACTGTAAACTTGTTGATCATAAATATATAAATGTATATAATATACTTAGTAATATAAATCACAGCTTAATAAATGATTAGTATTAAAAAAACTACGGGTTGTATGATCACACATGACAGTATCTAAATTGTGAGTAAAAATTGTTCATATTATTATTATTATTATTATTATTATTTATTCATGGCAATTTACCACTCCCTTCCCTCTTTCACAGTATCATACAAATAATACATTATCAGGTTTAAAAATGACACAGACAAATATTTTTTTTTAAAAAAAAATGTATACAACATGATTGTTTATTATGATCAATTTTAAATTGTTTCTGTTTTATTTTAATGTCTATATTTTGTACTATTTTTTTTATAACAAGACAACTTAAATGATTTACAGTATTGTTAATCATCATAAATTTTCATTAGAGACACTCTTAACTTTAATTGGACTTTCTTAATGTTTACTATTATTATTACTACTTCTACACCAGAAATGATCAAAAAAGTATTTATAAATTGAGCACACATTTAAATGGATTTTTTTTTTACCTGTATTGTTTTTAACAAATAAAGGTAAGGTAAAGGCAGTTGATAAATGAAACAGTTAAATTTATCTCATAAGATAATATACTTGAAGCATAGCATATGAAATCTAGTTTAAATATTGCTATGTTGTTTTTTATTATGAATAACTGATGACTACAAACTTAATTGTACAAAATTGCATGTGAGAAAGAGCATGTAAAAATTCCTCTTTAAACCAATATTCAAGTTTGTATGTTGTCAAAATACTATGCAGAACTTACTTTTAAAGGTCAGTAAGTTTTGAAACTCGTTGATATTTTACAAAACAATGATAAATTATTCATTTTATGTAGATACTACTTTGACTATAAGAGGTTCAAACTTGAAAGATACAGAAATTAACCTTGTAACCTATAGAAAACCTTATGAATAAATATGGTTCCATTATACTAGATATTAGATAGACGGAAACAGTAGATATAGAATTGTAAACCTTGTCTTTACAAATACCATTTTTAATTGATAGCAAATTAAATCTTCAAGATATTTTCAAGTTATTTAAGTTGATGAATGAGGTTTATTGGTCAATGTACACGAATATGAAAGTTTTAGTTTCGTTGAAATTATCAACTGATAATTTTTAGCCGACCATTATGCACCTGTAAGCTCTGGACGCCAGTTTCATCCTAGTATGGAACTCATCAGCAGCGCATATCCTCCACTTGCAGGAGTCGGACCTAAGACATTCTATCTGACACACGAAAGCTTAACTTCTAGACCATCCGATGGTGTTAATGTTTTGAAACAGTGTTGAAATTACTATGTGTGATGTTATTAATAGATTCTGTTCTATTTCTAAACGATAAACGTTTTGGAAGAAGAGCAAGCCCTGCGTGCGCTGAACTTGCAAGATGAATCATAAGACTATTTTGTAATTAAGCCATTCCTTCTGTACATAACCCTAAAATTTTAATTTTAAAATAAAAATACCTGTGGCAACCACTCTGATTTCTCTCTCGGTGTGAATTTCTTGGTTAATATTGTGTGTTGTGGTTTCAGGGCTTCTCCTACCTTCAGTGACTGCTGATTACACGTGTTACAGTTTAACAGAGTGAGTAAAATAAAAAAACAATACACCCCAAAGAGTAACTAAGGTTTTTAAGTTTACCAGTTATCATAGTAGATATTTAAATGTATGGTATATATATAACATCTAGTTGGTTTTATGTTAACAAAATAAATTGTTCAGTCCATAAGCACATTCTAGTACAATTGAAATGGTTTTCAATCAATACTCATTTCACTTGTTTTGATGTTTTCAAAAATACTTAAGACTAGGTTAATTCGAAGCACACATTTCTTCTGCCTAAGGTGTGTTAAGGACAGGCAAAACAGTTAAAAATAGAATAACAAGATAAGGAGAAGAAATAGCAGTTTAGTTCATATATGCACAAAGCTAGAATAAAACAGAGAGCTGAAGAGAAATAAGGGGTAGAAGGTAAGTGAAGGAAAAGAAAGAGTTAAACATTCCTCAATAATAAAATGTTTAAGACAAGCATATGCTTTGAAATCTGTACAAATCGAACTCTGTCATCTGAAATGAACAACAGGCTGAAAAAAGCACCAAAATTCATAAACTTGCATATGACCTAAAGAAAAATATGAGATTATCAGTAAATACATACATACATACTACAACAACAACAACGCACCTATAATTTTTTTATGTGCACAACTGCAAACTATAGGTTAGTAGTGAAGTTAGCAGTGAATTCAAGCATAGAAAAGTAACTCGCTCTCCTAGAAAAAATGTAAAGTTCACTCAGGATAAAATGTGAGAGGATTTAAGCTAAACATTTTAATGCCCATATAATCACGTGTTTCTGTTCTGTTTTTCTGCAAATATGTGGTATATATGCACATCAATAAATACAATATAGTTATGTTAAGGCCGAGTAGTGCTAATGACGGGATAGAATACACCTACTGCCTGTCTGTTTATTTCAGGATTAAGATAGAACAGTTGTTTAAAAAAAGATGTACATTTTTGTCTATTCTAAACAGAAATGGGCTCAATAAAATCTTGAAGAAATATATACAGAGTGCCTAGTATAAACAGATTTGAAAACTCCACAAATATAGTACATTGATGGTTTCAGGTTAGAAACAAACTGATTATGCATTTTAAAACATTAGATAACATCTTTTAAGGTTAACAGCAAACAAAGAAATTTTATATATGGAATAAAGATTCTTTATGATTAATAACAAATCCAGTTAGACAGCTTCTTTTATGAGGTTTATTCTAAGCACATTATACATAAACGACATGTGGTCATTGATCGAGTATTTAGATCTTGAACATTCATCTCCAAGAAATCTAAAGCTATGGCAAATAGAGAGCATTCTTTTTAGAGACGAAGGAAAGGAAACAAAAGTAATAAAATGATTGTTTTGTGAAAACTGATAATGCTTCGACACGACGTATCCTATGAACTGATTATATGGAAGCGAATAACAGAAAAGTAAATAACTATGACCTAAAGTTAATAATAAGCTTAGTTGACTATCCACTTTCACCAAATTATAATCCATGAGACCAATATAAACATGTTGAGTAAAATGATCATTCATAAATGTTAAAACATAATGAATATGATTTTGCTGTTGTTGAATTCCCTGAGCTAGGCGGTGAATGACTTACATCAAGTAACTGCAGATGATGTTTCGCAGAATGAAAATGAGATCTTTTGACTCAAACCATCTAGCTTAAAAGGATCAACAACACCGAAAGTATCCACCTGAATTCTAAATCTTCCTCACCGTAGTGATTATACAAAAGTATATTGACAGTAAATTATGTTATTTATTTAACAGACATTATTAACTCAACACTGATGATTGTTAAATTCCACTTACATATGAATGTAAGTGGTCATCCTAGAAGAGGTGGCTTAGTGATTGAAGTAGCTGAATGACAGCCAGTGGATCAAAGATTTGAATTCCGTTTTACATACTTCGCTTTGGGTGGTCAGGAAGTAACACCAATTCTGTCACGAAAACAATGCTCCTCAAAGCTGAGTACATAAACGTGAATTTATCAAAATGAGCTTTTAAAAAATTTATTCCATCAATATCTGTGGTGAAAATAAACCGAAAATGGGTAATTTCCGTCAGAAATAGGTACTTTGATATGATATGTTGGTTATGTGTACATAAAAACATTTAGCTTAACAACCTAAAGAACTCGATTAATAAGTTGATTTCCAAACCTATGGATGGCAGATGAGATCGTTGCAAGCATTTTTCGTTTCAACGTATTTCAGGTGGTCATCTTAGGATAAACTATAAACATACTTAATGACATACTCATTGTCGAATTGTTTTAAATATGATTCTTAAACAATACAGTGACAGTTAACATAAAGTAAACATAAATATTATGAGAAAAAACATAGAAGTTAGTAGATTAGTCATTTCATAAGTTATTATACCAAATGCCAATAAATCATAATTTATCAAGTAGTTGTTAGTTTAAATCAAACAAGAGGTGAATTCATAAGTAACTCCGCCTGAAACCCTTCTAAAGTTACTACCGGTTGCAAACCCGAATAAACGAGGAGGGTTCGGCATGGGGATAACGACCCTATCTCTTAGAAATCCAACTCGCTAAAAAAACGCTAACCCGAAAAATAATTGATTGGTCAGTGGCCTACGCTCCATTAGGAGTAACAGGCGTAAGTAAGTAAATAAGTAAGAATTCATAAGTAAAATATTTGTTTGAATATAGAAGAACGAGATTTATAACTGTCTATCTAAAATCGTTAGATATACAAAAATAAATAATTTCATTAAATAACTCATTGTCGTCCTTTCTGGTGATGATTTCATGTTAATAACTGTAATCAATTCTTCTTAATTAACTAATAATTATTAACATTAGCATTTCAGTTCGAAATAATTTATTTTACCATTAATGCAGAGCTGATTTAGCAAATTTAAAATTATCATTCTTCCAATTACTTCTTAAGCACATGAAATGACGAACAGATTATTTCTTTCATTAACTGTTTGGCCTTTCTTTGTGAATCTACACAAAATTTATTGTCTGAATATGGTGAAGAGAATTTTCCATTTACCGTTAACCATGAATACTAAAATGTGCATCATGTGTTAACATGTAAAATGTCAAATTTTGAGGGTCAAATTATGTATATCTACATGAGTGATGCCTTACGAGGTTGGTGGTGGTAGTAGTAGTAGCAGTAGTAACAGCAATATTGATGATAGAGAAATAATAGGCAAACTAATTGACTTGACACCAAAGTAAGCGGAGTAAAGGGGGAAACAAGATCATCAATACACCATTGTACATTTAGAGTTTTAAGGATAAACAGACATATAATTTAGTAACGAGGTGAACTCTATCGACAGCAGTGTAAACTAGCTTTTCTTACACTAAAACCTACAGATTTGGGTGAAAAAAAGTATGTTGATTTATTGACTCGAATGTAAAAATACATTATCAGCCAATGTGCGCATAAAAAAGTCTGTGAACAACGTTGTTCGCATAAAAAATATCCTACTACATGTTAAAATATAATATCAACTCATATAATGGCCATTTCGTCCTAGTATGGGACTTTTCAGCATTGTGCATCCAATGACGGCCTTTTATTGTGTCCAAGTTTCTATTAGTGGTTGAGCTTAGATCAATTCGTAATTTCCACCATGAAAATAAGTAATGTAGCAAAACTTTGCACTCATATTCATGTTAAAAAATAAGCACCGAAAACACTTTAATTTTGTTATTTTATTAAGTAAGAGTATTAGAAAAGCAGTAAATCCGATTTCATTAAATTAGATTTCTAAAGACTCACTTCAACGACGAATCATCTTCAGTTTCATAAAAAAAAATTAAAAACAAATTTCATCTGATCAAAAATATTTTGTTAGATTTCATATTTTTCTCAATAGATATCTGTTATACAACAGAAACATCTTACTTTATGACTTTGTCCTTTGACATTCTTAACTTACCAGATTAAAAAATGTAGGTCTTTTTTCAAAGATCTTACTATGTAGGATAGTAGAATCATAATCATTTCCCAACTTTCAGTATTTAAAAAACATTAATCTATCTTAATGAAATACAGCAATTTTTTAAAGAGAAGTAATCAAGGAAAAATACTTACTCAATAACTAATGATTTAATACAAACTACATGTTAATGATTAACAAGACCAAACATAATTAGAGATATGTATTCAAGTAAAAATATTTGTGTTATATACTTCAATCGGTGTTTCTAGTAGAAAAAAAAAACTCTTTTACAGGTTATCGAACAATAGAGATACGATTCCTAATTCAGGTCTCATGTGGTTGGCAAAATAAAAATGTCGCTAATGCAAAGAAAACGTCTTCCGATATGAGACAAAGCGTATTAAGTGTGTTTGAGCACATTCGCATCGAACTGGGCTTCTTTTACTATCCTATGACATACGATATATATTCTATAAGCTATATTGCTATGTAGAGCTGAAGGTTTCCTATGAGATCAGAGGTTCGTTGTAATCATTATGGATGGTTTGAATTACTTTAGCAAGTTTTGCTAATAGTCCATTTACAAATTTGGTTAGCACGGTGACCGATTTCATAGATACTGGTTGTTGTTTTGCAGCATTCTCGAGGGTCATTGTCACTGGGGTGCTGTATTGCAAATCGCCATTGCTAATAATAATGAGTTTGATAGTCACTTAAGCGGAATGGATCAAACTGGCCAGTTCATGCTGTGTATATTAATTGGCGTGATCATGGATCGGAAGTAATCACTACATGTATTGGTGTATATAAATGGTGTGAAGGGTCCACCAAGGTATCAGGTACCTGTGTGGTTGCACCACAGGATTGAGCTCTACTGTTCAGGTTGTAGTGTTAACAGCTGAGCAGTCTTTAGTCCTCCCGAAAACCAATGCAAAATTATCTTATCCTTTTCAAGGTGAATTTATATAATTATCGAAGAATATCTGAGATTTAATAACACCAGAATTTGGGAAAAGTCAAAATTTACATAACGGTGTTACATTTCTAAAGGCACTTCATATTTAGTATAATTGACTAACAGAAGAAATGTTGTTGCAAGAAATTCTGGAGTAACGCTTAGAAGCGACGTGTGAACAAACCAGGGAACTTTTTAAATACTAAGATGTAGAAATAGTCTGTTTCACCTATAATAATACAAACTTTATCATGGGTACATTATTCTTGGTTTATAATGTAAATATGTTTTCAGCAAAATATTCGTTTTTCAATGAAATAGCTACTCACAGACATATCCAAAGCTTGATCGTTGGAAGGAAAATCTTCATTGGCTCCGATATTACTCACAGCTGTTAAACCATGAACTACTGAAGTTCCTTCGGAATCTGTTTGATCAACCTTGGTGTGTATTGGTGCAGCAGAAACCAATGTATTAAAATTCGAAATATTTGAACTTTCAGAAGTAGACACTGCACTAAAAGATGAAATATCAACAGTATTATTACCAACAGACGTAACACCACAGGTTGTAGTTGGGATATTTGTTGCAATTGATTGTGGAACTGTTCGTGAATTACTTGATGCAGTCAGATGAGCTACCAAAGCTGCAAGATTGTTTGAACTAGATAGGTTAGGTGAGTTTAACTGTGAAACCGTCTGTAAGCGTTCAGTGCTATCACTATAACTTGATGAATTGTTTACTTGTGTATGAATATTTGTGGAATATGAGGAAGCTGGTACATTAATGGATGAGATAAGATTTCCGTTGGCAGCCACACACTTTAAAGCCTCGATTATATCGGGATAACGTAAAATTCCAGCACAATTCGTCAAAGTATTAGCTGCTGACGCATCCATTGACTGTGGAACTTTTAGAGATGGTGTCACGGATGAATCTCCAAGGGTTGGTACAGGCACAAATAAAGTGGGTTGTAGTGCGGTTAACTCCGCTTGCTGAGTTAAATTACATGATAAGTTACCAGATGGGTTGGTCAATACCCAAGCGGATGGATGATTTTGTGTTGTCTGTAGTTCATTATGATGCCCTGTACTTGTAACTGTCAAATTATCGCCAGAATTATTTACTGTTGGTGTTTGCGGATTATTCACTATTGTTGTGGATAAACCACAAAGAATATTTTCAGGTAAACTAGACAAAGGAATCAGTTGTCCAAAGAAAGGACTTGGAACTGATAATGAATTTAGACCATTCATATTAGGAGAACTAAATGTCACTAGAGGTACCTGCTTGTTGTCGGCCAAGGAATTTCCAATAGGTAAGCAAAATGGTGTAATGTTTGAGAAAGATACATATTTTGTTGCATTTGTATCAGTCACTGAATTTTCCGCATCTTTACATATTCTTTTAGACTTTGGTGAATCAACACCATCATCTTTAATCTGTCCATCAATTTCATCTACACCAGATAAAAATACACGTTTTTCTCCAGGCGAAGAAATAGAACTCATTGTTTCGTTTTTTATAGAGCTGGTTAATGATTGATTTATTTTGAATGCACTCGCATCAGTCTCTTCCGATGTTGAACAGCTATTTGTAGACTTTGACGCTGACAGACAGATACGCCCCTAAAATTTTCAGAAAAAATAAAGTTAGTGAATTAGTTAACAATAATTGATCGTCGTTTATTATGAGACCGTAAAATGAAAGTAATATTAATCTCATAAGTAAAGCCTTTGTACTCATGTCCATTATGAAAGTACCGAGTTGATATCTAACCACGGTTTAGGGAAACTAACATTTATAATTTTCTGTGCATTCATTTATTACTATCAACTGTTAAGTGGTTGAAGATAGTCTCCAGGATAGCCTGGAGCAAGGTTTTGTGTTAGTCAGCACTCATCAGTATGGGATAGGTGAGGTCTTGGGCGAACTGTTTTTGATTGTGGAATTCGAAGTTAGGCAGTGTTGGTGCAAACTCCACATATAGCATCCAGTCCTTCAAGATTTTGAGTTATATAGTCAAGGCAATTCATACTAATTAGTGAAGACCTATTTATGTAAAAAGTGATCTTATTTAGCATCCGACTAATGAAGGATCATCACTGTCATTATTCTGCATAGATAATCCTTGATCCATCAAATCACACGAAAGAAAAGCAAGACATACTCACTCATGTACATATAGATCGTTTTTTAGTTTTCATATATCAACTTATAGGGAATCTTTATTGTCTCTCCTCTGAATATAAATGATCAATGAGAGAGAAGATTTCTTACATATAAGCTACTTTTAAGTAACAGCGATAATGACAGATTAGCATAATTCCTAAGTTAGAACATTTGTTAAATTTTTTTTAAATTAAACCGATTGAAATAATAGGGATTTTTTGAGTTTGTTATGAGAAGTTAACGGCTCAATAGTTACGCTGGCCAACCTTCAGTTATTCATTAAAACGTTCAAACCGCACTTCACCCACATTGGTTTTAGCAACAGGATAGGATTATTCGCACTCACACTTAGAGTGTCGTTCGAAACTATAAATTTCTGTTTCGTCGGTGAAATCACTTAATTCGAATTGCTTGAAGATTTATCATAAGTTCTTTACGGCATTCAGTGTATTGAAACTTTCCGTTTTTTGAGTGATAGATAACAACTGATTATAACGTTGTAATGTTGAACTTGACAAATACAAAGTTTTTTACTAGAAAAAGTTTCATCGCGTCATTTTTACATTCACTTTATTGATATTCTCAAATTTGTTATAATTTCTAATTCAATATTTTAAATTATCTAACCATTTACTACAATGATTTAATTGGTTATTTTACTTGTCGCAGTTACTACTCATTCTAACAATAATACTACCATTTTATTGACGCATAAACGCTCACTAAGCACATGTAATTAAAACTATTGGTTTATACAAAATAAATAGTCTGAGAAAGGTAAGGAAAATAATAAAAAAATGAGTATGAAAAATAACATCAAGGTGAGTGATAATAAAAAAAAACATTAATGATGGTGAGTCGAGTAGATATGCATCTATCCAATCAAAATGCATTATTATATTTCATCCATCCAGTCAACTTGCATCAATATTATCAATATTAGTATAACGATTATTATTATTATTATTATTATTATCATTATTACTACTATTAACCAAGAGGTTATGGCGCATTATAAATAAAATAAATATGAAAGAGGAATAATTATTGTTTATATGCGTAGCACAAAGTGATTAAATTTTGTAGTTTACCTCATGAACTGATCTTAGATAACGAGATTAAATTGTGAATAAGCAACTGTGAAAAAAGTCCCATATTAAGAAGAAATAGCTGCTATTCAGTGTTTCGTGGGTTTTTAACAGTTATATAATTAAAAATAAATTCATAATGTTAGCCATAAAATATAATTCTGTTCGGTTGTATATTAAATGTCCTTACGATTGAGCTATTATTAATGTTGAATAATTTTTTTGGCGGTGAACACTCGAGATATATATATCCCTGCACTTCGTAAACTGTTTGTCCTGTTATAGATTCAATGATGAAAAGTCAACTTTACTATTCAAATATATGGAATAGTCGATACTGTTATCGAATTATTTAAACAAGCAACATTAAAGCTAGTCGGATCAATATGTGCGTAGGCGGTGAACCATGCTCATGTATGCATTGCATGTTCAATACAATCTCAGCAATAATAAAAGTACACTGGTATAGTATAGATGAGTGATTGCTGTACGAATCGAATAAGTTTATTCAGAAGACTTAATCAAATCCAATGTAAGTAAATTTAAACGCATTATGAGGTGCTGTAAGTTATAGATATGAATAAATTATTTATCTAACAGAATAATCAAATTATCTCCTTTTGTATTTGATAATATTTCATTAGGTTGTCTTGATTAAGAGTAAACACTGATTGTTAAGAATAAAAATTATCAATAATAAATAGTATAAAATATTTTACTTAATTGTGATCAATCTATAAATAAAACTATCACTGAAACGATTTAATAAGAAATATTTTATTTTTAATAAAATACACAATAATTGATAAAAAAAAATATTTTAAACAATTAAATCATTTCTCAGCCGAGATATATTAGTTTAAATGAACTTCCTGATTGAAAATGTGTTCTAATTTATTGAAACCTTTGACCTTTAAGATTTAAGATATACACAATGTACGATCAGCACAGAGATTAAGTGTAAGATTCTGACTGACTCATTCATCATCATACATACATCAGTGTTCAATTAGAATTAATGAACTGCACTAACAATCTCAGTTTCAGAATGATGTAGAGGTAAAAGAGTAGGGTGGGAGAAATTGAACCATTTTATGTCAAGTGTGTTGGATAGCTCAGACAATGTGAAAAAAAATTTTTCTTCCCACCCATTACATTGTATAAAGCTAAACTAAGGGGTAGAAAATCACTTGTAGTCTGATGGTAAGAATGACTCAGTAGTTACACAGATTTAGTAGGTCATTTTAGAAAAATGCTTTGTTAGACTCAGAAGGCAGACTCAAGACTGATTCTGTTCTACATTGTGTTTGTCTAATGTAGTCATTTTAGAAAAATGGATCATATAGAGAGAATGAAGTAAGAATCCTAATAGAGGGGTGGGGGTTTAAGAAGTAATCCATCATAGGAGTGCATATTACAATGAACAAATCTTAAGAGAAAGCAAAAGTCACATTCAAATCTTTTATCAAAGAACTTAGAAATAGAATTTGTCAGATCCACATGTGAATAAAATACAGTAAAATACTAATTGTAAAAATGGATTTCACAAAAATACATACAAAGGAAATAAGTCAACAGTGTAAATCTAACTATAATTTAACATAGTTTTCTGAAAAACTCTGGACTGGTTTACAAATTTCAGTCGACAAATTAATTAGGCCAACTCTACACTACATGTAAATTTACGTCAATTGATGTAGTGATCTTTACTAAATGAGGCATTCACTTAAGTCTGTTACAAATTCAAAAGTGATCAGATTGTTATCGTTAGTCAGTATAACTATGATACTGATTGACTGACTAACTGAAGTGGATGAAGTGTGTGTGATAAATTCAATATTTGATTCGAGTTAGTTTTTAAATTTGAAAATCAACACAATTCTTAGATGTAAAAATTCATTAATAGTGAAATGATATTGTTATAGGTCAACATTCAGCAGGCAAAACATTGAAATAACTTGACGAACCGAATGAATGGTTTAAAACGATATACGTACTGCGTACACAACATTTTTTTTAAATACCTACATTGCAGATTAAAATATTTTGAAGCTTGATCAAGGATGTTTTCAGAAGAAAAGAATCAAACAACTTAATTCTTAACTGAAATATTATCATCACTCAAAGTTGTAGGAGTTTAGTAGTCAAATAAATAGAAATCCAAGATATGGTCAAGTCCTTTTTGGGTTCAGGTTTCATTGAAGATATCATTTAGGAAGCAGGTATATGTAATTAAGTTCGAAATGAAATAGAACGATTTTAGAAATCAGTACCAGTTGAATTTAAGTAATATTGTCTGAAAACAAACCAAATTAGTATATCTTTTCTTCAAAGCCCATTTGTCTTATACCTCATCTAGTCAGCGTTGAAATAACCGAAGGATAGAGTCTAAACTTGATGTTAACGGAACTAGTATTATTTTGAAGGTATTCAACTGACATTGGACAAGTTTATATTTAATGAAATAGCATTTTTAGGAATTACCTGATCGATCATTCATTCATATACACTCTTCCTTCGCTTACTATGACCTATTTACAACATCGGTATTTATTAAATTGAACACTTACTGAAAAGGCCAAACGACTCGGGAATTAACTGTTGCAATAATAATTATTAATAACAGCGAACACGTGATTTTATTAATGAGGTTTCAAATACATTCAATAAATATGAAGGATAGAGAGGTAAATAAAAAAAAAATACCTTTAGAGGACTAACAAAATCGGTTAAAGAAGATGGAAAAGAAAGAAAAATAAGATATGTTAATGTCGACATGGGGCCGAAATAGATGAGCTAAGGCAAATGTATTATGTCTCTTATTAAAACGAGTTTACCTGTCAACCTTTAAAATTTATTTCGATAATCTAAGTATATATATATACATATATATACATATATCTATGTACAAGTAAAAAGTAGAAAAAAATAAAGAGGGTGAGAGAGTGTGCATGGAAAAGAGAACTTGCTAGCGAAACCTGACAATTCAGCACTCATTTTATAATTATTGTTTGAAAGATTGCACATTTTCTATTTTACACTAAATTACTGATATTCAAATAATAAAAAGCAATATATATATATATATATATATATATATATATATATGTACGGACTTACAAACAATAAAATGAATAATGTATAAAAAATGAAAGCAAACTAAGAGGCAATGGGCAATCAAGAAATAAAGAAAATATGTGTTTATGAGCGAGAGAATGGTTTTCCGATCGAAAGGGGGTTGTATGACTTGCAAACAAAAAAAAATAGAAAAGGACAAGCCAAACACTGAACTTGAACAAACGAGAACATATAAAAAGAAGTAAACTGCTTGCTTTCATTTCGATGAATAGGATAGAAAATAGATAAAT